GATCACGTCGTTCTTGGGCAGGTTGGGGCCGGAGTATCTGTGGGGTTTCCAGGGGATGGAATGTTTATTTTTTGGTCTAAGAAGAATGAGTAACTCATAGAGGTTGTTTGTTTCGAAAAGAGGGTGTACTTGGTTTCTTTTATTTTGGGGGTTTGAGAAGAACAATGAGTGAAGTTTTTTTAGGTTATTTAGTCAATGGTTGTTAAGATGAGGAATGAGTGAGGTATCTCTCGTATGATTCGCCTGGTTATGGCATCCCGCAAACTGTATGTGGTTTTGGCCGACTCTCGTGGCCGTGTGTAATTCATGAGCATACGCATCTCTTTTCTCAACCACTCCCTCAACTATCTCCCCTTTCTCTTCCCTCTTCCCTTCTTTACCACTACCTTTCTTTCTACCTCCCCTTTGTCGTCTCTCTTCTCTTCTTTACCACTACCTTTTTTTCTACCTCCCCTTTCTCTTCTTTCAATCTCCTACGTGTCCCCCCCTTCTCTTGTCATCTTTCACCTCTCCTTATTACCCTCCTTTTCCTTCCACTCCCCCCTCCCCCTTTGCACCCCTTTCATCCTTCATTCGGTTTCTTATTTTTTCCCTTACCAACTCATATAACCTCCCATCTTCTCCCTTCCTCCCTTGCCTCTCCTCCCTCTCTCCCTTTTCTTCGATTCCTCTTCTTCACCGTCTCAGCTCACGAGGCCGGGTTATTATCACCCTCCTTCAACTCCTCCGCCCTCTACTGCTTCTTCCCCCCTACTGCTATCCCTGTTTTCCCTCTCTTTCCTCCTCCTCTCTTATCTTTTCATCCCTCCTCCCTTCTTCATTTCTTCTCGGCCTCCCTCCACTCGCCACATCCCTACCCTCCCAAGGACTCACCTGAAGGCCTCGTAGAACCTGGAGAAGAGCAGCGGCCACTTGAACTTGGCGTAGCTCACGACGTCCTCCTTGACCCTGAGGGGCTGGACGCGCTCCTTGACGTAGTAGCTCTTCCTGAAGGCGGCGACGACGAGGCCGGCCCAGCGGTCGATCGCCTTGTCGCCCGAGGAGACGCAGTAGTCCGGGATGTAGCTGGGCAGGTTGTTGAAGAGGCGGTCGGTGTTGAGGTCGTTGCCGCTCTCGATGTAGTACTGCTGCGCCGCGATCATGGCCAGGTCCTCGTCCTTGTCACAGCGGTACTCGCCGAACTTCACGCCGCGGACCACCTGGGGGGGAGGGGGAGGGGGCGACTTGGTTGAGAGTTGTTCCACGATTTGGTGTTGCTTATTTCGTTATTGTTCATTTGGGCGAGGTTATAATTCCAGTGTAAAAAGCTAATTCAAATGTATGATTCTATCGATCAATCACCCATATTGTAATGCTATCAGAATATTATTCCCATTATCTCGCAGAAGATATTAAAATGAAACGCGGTTCGAAAGAAGCCGCTCACCTGCTGGTAGATGAGGTTGGTGGCGACGGGGTCCTCGGTGGGGTCGTGCCACGGGGCGAAGATCTCCTTCCTGAAGAAGAGCCTCCAGGGGGCGTTCCTCTCCTGCGCACCCTGCTCCTTCGCGTACTGCTCGCACTGGCTGATGGCGTCCATCACGTGGTCGCCGCCGCTGCCCAGGGACGACACCTGCAGGAGGAGGGGGGGGGGGGGTGAGGACGATGGCGATGGCGAAAAGGACGAGCTTTTAAAGGTATGAGTTATGGGTATATTGGTGACGACGTCAAATGAGACGGAGTTTGAGGAATGGGAACAGTTGAAGCATGAAGTATGATGATTCCGTATACTTATAAACACACGTGTGCATATCTAAATCACACACACACACACACACACACACACACACACACACACACACACACACACACACACACACACACACACACACACACACACACACACACACACACACACACTCACACACACTCACTCCACCCTACCTTATCGAAAAGCGCGATGTAGAGCGAGAATCCGAACTGGTCCCTGAGCGAGATCTTGTCCGACAGCTGGTTGCAGAGTTCGCGCGCCGTGGTGGCCGAGTCGGCGTACAGCGTCTTGGTGTTGCCGTCCATGAAGGTGATGGGCAGCATCAGGGGCTTCTTGGACTTGGTCGCCTGCGGGAGGGGGGGGGGCAAATAATGGGGTTAGAGACAGATAGATGGATGGATACAGAGAGAGGGAATGATATAGATACACATGTATGTATGTATGTATGTATAAGTATGTATGTATGTGTGTGTGTGTGTGTGTGTGTGTGTGTGCGTGTGTGTAGATAGATCGATAGAAAGAGAGAGGATCTTAGAGAATATATACATATAAAAAAACAAAATCACAGCAACATAAACAGCGCCCTAAAGGCCTTTCCCTCCCGCCCGCCGCGCACCTGCAGCTCGAGCCAGCTGGGCGGCTGGTTCCTGGTGCCGTTGGCGAAGGTCCTCTTGAGTCTCTCCTCGCAGTAGGGGGCGTAGCCGGGGGGGCCCTCGCGGATGAACGACAGCAGGTACTTGACAAAGTCCT